CAAGACCAGACACAAGACCAGACACAAGACCAGGCACAAGACCAGACACAAGCCCAGTCACAAGTAACAGGGTGAACAATGACAAAGGAATGCTTTTGTTGCAGTTCATTTGAAACGCTTGTAACTTGAATTTAGACAAAGGTCTTGGGATGGACTTGTGCTGATCTCGTGCGGTCTTGTGAAGGTCTTAAGTGGTCTCGACTACAACACTGGGGTGCAGTGCCAGCAAAGTGATGGCATCTCCTCCAATACATCCACAGTATTAAAGGGTCCTACAATGTCTATGCCACAGTCAACGTTTCATTACAACCACTTGCTGATGGTATTATATTTTGGCTAAAATTTTGGCAACCAAAGAAGCCAAGATATAGTGGCCAACCTTTGATAGACATAGAGCCAATAAGGGCACAAATACTAATTTTAGATTTAAGTAGTAAATGTATATGTACAACATTTCTTACGTACTGCAACGTCATATCGTTCACCATTCTAGGGCACATCCCGGGGGTGGTACCTTCCACAACACAACAGAAGCATTCAAGTTCAAGGCACGATCTGCCTCCGCAGACTTTTTGGGGGGACTTTGTGTGCTTGTACATAACAGATGGGGAACCCAACCCCTCTCACCTCCGAGTTGAAGACGCAGTTGATCAAGAAGATGAAGAGCCCCTGGAAGGAGTTGAAGATGGTGAAGAGGTACTGGAACAGGATGGTGGCGCTGTTGACGGCCAGCAGTCCAAAGACCCAGGTCAGGCCCAGGAGAGGCAGGAGGGTGAGGGCGCCCTTGATGCCCGCTCTAATCAGAGAGACACAATCCGTCAAGGTAAGGTTCTTTACAGAGACGAGTCGGCGATGAAATTATGCAATTATCATTATGGCCTGAAATGATTTTCCAAACAGGTGTTTTTAACCCCCCTGGGGAGGGGGACGGGGGAGGGGGTCCATAGACTTTTGTTAGGGGTATATCCCACCCCCACCCTGTCCCCTTGTAGTGACACACAAGTGGTTTCCAGATTCCTCTTACCACTCTGCACCCTGTTGCCATAAAGATAGGCCCTAAGTCAACATTAATTCTTACATGAACATGCAAAGAAATAAATTTTCCCTTCCTTCTGATCAGACTTATATTGCAAGTAATTACCATCTTTTGCTTCAAATCTATGTATTCATAAAGTTTGGTTTTTTAAGAAGCCAATTTCATCAGTAAGCTTCCATTCTTTTAACTGAACGCGCAAGTTTATCCATACTTGGCACGAGATACAAACTCAACCGTGCAGCAACCTTCATATAATATTGCTTTCAGATGTCATTTACTTACTTGATGTGATCATACTTTTTCTCCTGACGTAGGTGGGCCGATTTGATCACAATACGCACAACCATAGCTAAGACTATCAGGTTGATCTGTAAATCAAAATTATTTCAAAAAATTAATAATTAGACTATTATGCGGAATGGGAAACACTGACGCATTCCCTGAACTGCCTGCAGACACAGTTATTTGTGATCAAAAAAATCATTATCTATGTTTGATTTCAAGACAGGCATGTGTAAAGTTAAGCTCACAAGCAGAAAATTTGAACACATTAGCTTTAAAGGAGCCAGGAAATGGATTTTTCTTCGAATCACTCTTTGTGTATCTCTGTACTCTGCTTCCATGTATGAAGACTGTTTGACATCTTATTTGAGTTACGTGAACTGAATGGTGCACTTTTCCAAACATTAAAAATTGACCAAGCATTTCTGGACAAGTGAGGGTGCTTTTGCTTTGGTGTAAATCTAGGAAGACATGGTTCAGGTTGTATGTTTTCATGTTCAAATTGCGAACCCCAAATTTGCTATCTGGGAACATTTCTGTGAAACGGATATTTGCTGGATTACTGCCATATACTTACACAGCAATAAACTGCCACAGAAAATAAAATTTGCCATAGCAGTGGTTAAAAAATCTAGAAATTTTTTGTGCACAAATCAGTTCAACATTGAGATTCAGTGCCTTGGATGACATCATAGTTTTGCTCATATATATGCAAATATGCATTGGCGTAAAAACCAAAAAAACATCAAAATATGGGTTAAAATTGCAAAACAAAACTTTACAATCAGGTTACTTGAAACCCAAAGATGCAATTTCAAGGGTTTTTAGTAAAATTTATAAAAATATTTCTATTTCCTTGTTCCTTTAACAATGCAAGATATTCTTCAACTGCAAAATCCATTCAATTAAAGAGGCCTCAAGTTTGTGAGTTCACTTTCTTGTATAATTCTGCGCCTTTCATTTTCTGCTTTGATAGCTTGAACTCTGTTCTTGGTAGGGCTCTTGGCAAAAGTACAAATGCTTTCATTTATTGACTGACAGACCATCCATTCACCCCATTTCCCAGAATCGTGTGGCTGATTGTAACACAGAGTTACAAGGCCAACCTGCATCACTGACAATGCGCATCCACTGCACACACACACATACAGTCATATTAATGGGTTATGCCATCATCAACTCCTCTTCTTGCATGAATTAAAACTGTCAGACAAAAACTTGTAAAGTCTTCATTACCATTATGACAAGGAGAGCTGGGGCCACAAAAGCCCAGATGAGACCAGACGAAGTGTCAAGCCAACAGCTGGTCAAAAGATGAAAAAAATTGGAAACATTCAATATGTCCAACTGCACTTATGCCGCCGTTTAAAATACGCTATTCCTCTTTTGTGTTTACAAAATGAGAATAGGGAGGTTTAGCAGTATGATCTACAAAACCGTCAAGGTGAGCGCAACTGATGCGCAGACAAACGGTTTGCTTTAAATTTCATGTTTATTCTCCCATAATGAGCTGCTAGATAAACTTTGGTGTTCAAATGAAACCCTGCTGGTAAGACTGTAAACTAGCCTTTTCTGAACAAACTTAGAACAGATGCAGTGTAAATATCGCGCTTTTACTTTTTTTGCATTTCAAAAAAGTAGGCAGCCATATGTAAGATGTGTGACACGTACTGCTCCCCACTAGGGGACCCTCCGCAGCTCAAATAATCAAGGACAAAAAAGTATACCAAGTATCCCATACTAGCACGCTTCTACCATAAATAGTTCATTCGGAAGTTGGATTCCAAATTTCCACAGTTAGGGTATTTTTCATTGGGGGTTACCCCCCTATCTAGGACACATTTTTCTGTACATCGCTAGGGTGTAAACTGTGAAATGACGGTTGGGTTATAAAATTTTAATCACAACAATTTTAATTGTACAACCTTTTCTTCCATTGTGGTATTTTGGAAACATTACTCAATCCTCTAAAACACCCTAATGCATAGGAAACCAATGGCTCTGTACTTCAGGCTTTAAAGAGAACGCAGCCCCGTTAAAAGTAACAAAGGCTGGGCTTTGATCTGAATCCTGCAAAAATCGGTCAAACATCTGGATGGATTTGAAAGTACCTGATGGGGATGGTAAGGGATAATGGACCCTACCTATTCCCCGTGCCATAGCCATCATTGCTGGCACCAAATGAGATCAAAGTGATGACAAGGGGAATGCCCCAGCCAATGAAGAGGTAGGGGTACATTTTGATGTTCTCGCTGCCGTAGACCTTGACGACCTTCATGTACAAGTGGACCCCTTCCACCAGCATCCAGGCAAACACCGACAGGTAGCAGAAGTGGAGCAATAGGGCTATGGCTTTGCATATACCCTGCAATTAAGCAAGCCATCAGATGACAATTCTATCAACTACTGACAAGCAAAAAGGGCTATGGCTTTGCATACACCCTTCAAGCAAGCCTCTAGAGGACTTTTAGTTATCAACAGTTATCAAATGTATCAAGAGTTATCAACTGTATCAACAATTATCAACTGCTTCATGGATTTAATTGCAATTAAGAATCAAGCAATTTAAAGTTACTCCAAACTGTTAACAGTTTTTACAGTATTGTACCTCAACCAGTAAAAGACATAGGCTCTGCGAAACAATACTTGGGAGATTAAAGGAAAATTGCAGAACACAACTTGACTTTTATTTGATTGAGATGAGATGAGGCTTGACGTCTTCCCTTTTTAAGAAACACTCAAAAGCTTTTTAATTTGAAACATACAGGTTTCAATAAAATTCTTAGAACTGGAAAACTGAACAGAGATCAGATGTACACTGTCAGATGTTTATTCCTGCATTCAAAATATTACACCCTTGCAAAATATATACACTTTTTATTGTGTTTCACTTAAATTCGATCGATGGACAATCAGTGAGAATTCTCCAACGTATTCACCCTGTTTTCAGTTCTGTCAATGCCAGCAATGAAGAGGATCTGAGCTACCAAGATGGCAACAGACAGGTTGGTGTGGATGAAAGACCGGTCAGACCGCAGCATTCTCCTGGAAAAAAAACACAGAATTGGAGACAGACGACTGCCTGCTGAGCTCCCGTTCACAAGTGCCCCCGTGCATGGAGGTACATTATACTGCAAAGTCGCAGTGCCTAGTATGATCGTGATTTTTCCCCATGATATTCATATCTACACTTTAAACCGGGACAGTAAAAGACGTCTATATCTTGCAACAATTTTGAATTCTCGCAATTACTTTTTGAAAAGAATTCATGCCATGTGAAGAAGTTTAGGCACAAAAGCGGGCAAATTTGAATATTTGTCAGAGCCAGGTTTTAGTTAAGTTTTTTTTTTTGAGGGGGGGTTGGGTAGGTGTCAAATCGCCTTGGGTTGGTTCCCCTCAGTTTTACTCAGGTCACGTGGGTCAGATTTAGGGAGCTCAGTTCAGTTTTGACCCAATGCACAACATTACCACAAAGCATCAGCAACTGGTTTTATGAAAACTTTACAGGGAATAAATATGTATTTGACCAGTCTTAAACGTTCGTTTGAGAATGGATCGGGAGAGTGGTTGCTGATAATGCCCAAGCCCAAGGCGAGTGACCTTATCCGCATCCATTCTCCTCAGTCAGTCTTAAACATTGTCTAAGACCAACCACGTACATATTTATTCTGATCCGTAAGCACTTTTTTCGTCACAAAATTTTAAAAGCAAGTTTTAAAAATTAGAAATTTTCCTTATGATTTTGCTCAATAGTTCAATTTACTTCATTTTTTTAACACCTCTCTAGAAATCTTACGGCGCATTCCTCTTGGTAGTCAGAAACAATCTCCTCATATGAATATTGATGCCTGTGAGGCTCGTACTGTGTGAGGTGGCGCACAGCCAGCAGGTCCACCCTTATGAAAATGCAGTCACCAGAAATGTTTGTGGCATGCAAGCAGCATGCCAGCAAGAGCATGCAACACGCATTCCGATGCATGCAATGAGTGAACTAGGACTGTGTAAAGTGCGTGCAAACATGCAGGTGCGCGCAGATATCGCATGCAAATATTTATCGCAAACACAATATATTTGGAATTTGTTTGCAGAACGTGAGCATGAGCGTGCAAACGTGCACATGCGTGCTGGTAATGCACACAAGCATTCATTGTGCACAAATTACATGCAATTTGTAAGGACCAATACGTGTGCTCGCAACAGTCCCGGTGGAACTTTATCAATTTAAAAGCAGCTACGGGAAAGCCTTTCAACCAACAGGAAAGGCCAATCTTCCTCAGGTATTTATAAATTACACTTAAAATCCTAGACCTGGAAAACAGGATCACTGAACCCTGAAGCTCGCCTATAAATTTGACCGGGCTATAGTCTAGTTGCTTGAGACAAATCTTATTATCACAGTGTACGCGGCAAGTCTTAGAGGGCTATCCGCTCCAAGCGGGAACAAAGGAGGGTATGTTTGTAAATGAAATTGACAGTCCTTCGGCACCCACTCACCGCGTAGGCGTGCAAGTTTTGCATGTCTGACGCGGAGCATGCCGAGTACGCGCAACTCTGCAAAGTACCGCAGTACATGTGTGGCCTGCGCGTGCATGCCAAATGCGAGCAAGAACCTGGTTGGAAAAACTTAGAACCAGCCGGTCTTTCTCCCGCCGGCTAGTGTGCACTTCAGCTTAGGGCAGATTGACAGCTTTGAACTGTTCCAACTGACCCGTACAGTTAACTTTTACAAGCTGCCTTCTTTTTGCTTACCCCAAATACAGGAACACTGCTAACATCAGCACGAGCATGACCATTGAGGTGCTGCACCCGATGTACGTGATCCAGGTGAGAGCCAGCGAGTCGGCGTGAGAAATCTGTACGATGCAACACAGAAAGAAGCGTTCTGCTGGGTTGTTTTGTTACAGCACAAACAAATCGTCACATCAGACACTGGGCCAAAATTATAATCGACCTAAACGAGACCTATTCACAGGTATGTACATGGGGGTGGTCAGAGGTTCAAACATTCAAACAAACCCCCCTTCCCCCTCGGTGATGAGTCAGTCCACTTGCTTATTTTTACACACACAGAACCTTTGAGTGGTTTATACGTTTATAGATCAGAAAATAGGTATGAACTACACAAAAGCTTTTTTTCTTCTCAACTAACAGATATCGTTATAGTTAATTATAAGAAGAAAAATGTTCCAATTATCGCGTTAATTAGTTTGGCACACCAAGTAGAATCTATGGGGCACAAATCTGGACCAATGCCACAATGTGGGGTTTGACAACCCTCACAGTTACAGGCCGGGGAAAGTACCTGATTCACTTTGACTTTGCAAGGGTAATTCTTCCTCAATTTGAAACATTAGTATCCACTAACTAACTCTTTGTCTTTCCACTTGAAACACTTGACAGAATGGGACTTCGACAGAAATTCAGAATCGTTGGGGTTTGGAAAAGCTCGCAAATGGTTTTCCACGGAATATAACAAACTGTAAAGTAAATCAGCAGATATCAGCCAATCCTCTTTTATAATAAGCGTACATTTATTGAGTACTTAATTTGCTGGCAGGTTTTGGTTCTAGTATTTAGCACTTCAAATTGAGGTTTACCTCATAGGACTTGACCTGCATGAGAACAGCAAAGTTTGTAGAATGGTTACAGGAACAATATGTATGTTCGTTGGTTGACCTGGGCGATACCGCTTTGCAACCGTATGCTGACCATTGCCTGTTGGCATAGACAAATACAGAGAGAATTATCCAGCAATGTCTCCAATTGCTGCAAGTATTGGTTGACAAACGTTAAGCACCATCTTTTGTGGAGCTAGTTTAAATTTTCAGACTTGTGGCAGTTACATGTAATTGACAACGATATGGTTCCAAATTTATTTCAACCACAATTTTGAATGATTCTTTATCGCTCCGAAATTTGAAAATTGCTTAACCTGAAATTGAAAGCCATTTATCCTAACTCCAAATATTGAAATTGATGGGGGGATGCTATATTTGGTTAATCCAGCAACTTGGAGCTGGAAATGTTGACGAAATGTAATGGTAAATGTTTGAGAAACTTAATCAGTTTGGTATTTCAGCCAAAAACTTGAGGTCCTTCAAGAACAAAGCACAAGAGCTTGAGCATGCTAAGCAAGTGTGCAAAAGTGTGTGGCCAGGCTAAATAGGGCTATTTAGGTTAAACCTCATCACATGCATAAATCATGGTTTGCACATTAGAGACAGCTTTGATTAAAGACTTTTCAAACTTTCAAGGACTAGAAGTCCCCGTTTCAAGAACCAAAATCCAGCCAAAGTTAGGAACACACGGCCTGCGACCGCTGATTGGCACACATAAATGCACAGCTTATCACTGCTGCTTATTGCTGCCACTTCCATTGCTAGACAGAGATCCACTCGTAGGTGACTTTCTTCCCCGTCCAAGTAACAGGTGAAAGTAACCAATCAATTATCCAGTTGACAGCATATTTTGAAACCCCTATCATCACGCTCCTTTGCACAAATTAATACTTTTATCATAAAAATGAATTTTTAAGAACCCTGATAAATTCCAGGACTTTCATAAGGCCTTGAAAAACAGACTTTAAATTTGTAGGACTTTCTGACTATACCAGCCCTGGTGTGATGCCATTCTTGAATGACCTCCAATGTGCTTTGTTTTGGGCATGTGCTGTTGGGAGACCTAAATATAGCTCGATCGTGCAGCAACACTGCTATGAATGCCCTCTGCTACACACAGTCTTCCTGCTAATCTGTAGCCCAGAAGAGATGTTTTACGATTCCCTTTCAAACATCACGGCGTAAACCAGCTTGTTCTCAAATTATTTGAAGCCACCAAGTGATGATCTAAGGGGCTGCACTCAAATCATGATTATCAGGCAGAAAAGCTCCCTTTCGTGATCACTGTGAGTAACTGTCAGATTTTGAAGGCTTTTTTTTGCATGCACAGCAAGTTCGTTTGGACTGGTGGGGGCAAGATAGAGTGCCAAAGGGGGCCCTCAGCACCAGTGCTGGAAGGTAGACGGGGTTTTCTCAACTGGCCATCTACTGAGATCTGTCAAATCAAAGGGGCAGGGGCTCCTCATCGTCTTTCATGACAGCGCCGTTCAAACAACGGCCGCAAGCACTTCTGAAAAGTGGGGTGGAACGTAGGTAGTACCCAGAGCAAAACTAATGCGAGCACAAAGCGCAAAGCCCTTAACGGCATGGCACCCAGGCAAAGTGTGCATTCAAGATTCTGTGGTGTAATCTTATGGGGCAATTCCTGACTGCTTTACCCAACTTTTGAGCATTTTGCAGTGGATATCCCTCTCAGGTTCCCCACTGATCTGTGCTCCCCGTGAACAAAGAGAACAGCATGAAGTGACGGGCAGTACTCTTCATGGCTACAAAGTTTCTGATATCTGAGGGACATTATAACGAAGGGCGCTGTGTAAAGAGGCACGTGAAAGAAACAAGGGGCACTCACGTGTATGAGCAAAAAAAACAAACAAACTCTAGGGGATAAAATTGCCTTTATTTTCGCAACAGATGCTACGTCAACGGGGGTTTACCTAAGATGAACGAAAACACAAACAGACTTACACATTTTGATCATCCTTGTCGTCCACAAATGCACAGATGGAGTTTTTGCTGATGTTGACTGTTGCACTCTCGCCTGTCCGAGATTCCCCCTTCAGATTCTTCGATAAATTGAAAGAGAACAGCAGCTTTCCCATTTGTGACATTTTGAGAAGTTTGATTCATTGACCGCATGGCTACTGAACCAAGAAGTGTGGATCAATGTACGGCACCGTTCATTTTATGAAGGTGTTCTATGTTTGTGAATCTCTCTTGGCCAAGTTTTAAGCAGATACACACACTTCTATGCTGGAGAGTTGCACTTGGACCAGAAAAGTTGACTCAACATTTTTTTGTTCATGTTTTGGATAACTGAAGTTAGAGTCAACTTTTTGTTCGGGGGGGAGAGTTATTTTTCACAAAGATCACACTCCACTTTACATAACTCATGAAAGTTTAATAGAGCTGCAAGGAAAGAGCACAGTGATTAGAATCCCTGCACAACCACCATTTTGGACACAGAAACTTCCATGAAAACAAAGAACTTTAAACATTCATTCTTTAATTCGGCAAATAGAAATTACAAGCATCGTTTCATTATTGAGCTCACAATAACAACATCTATCTGTGTGTAAAGAAAGACCCTGAGGTAAGTGTCAAGTCAGTTAACAGTAAATTTGATGACAGTATTACGGACGACTGATCGTAAATTCAGGTGACGCATGTTTTCTTCAGTGAAAGGTGAACAAATGATCCTTACCTCAAGATGGTATAGGCTGAATGTCACCGGCACTGAGGTACGATTGCCTTGCACAAATAGAGACAATGTCAGTAGGGCACTGTTGAGCTGTATCCAAGTCTCATTGGGTGCCTGCAGATTGCTGAAAGACCAAAACATTTTACAGATTGAGGACTTATTGTAATGGGCAATACGGCCGTTTCACAATAGTGCGCCACCAAGAGTTTGCAACGCCTTGGCCAATCACAATACGCCAAATTTGTCGACTCAATGCGCGTCGGAAAGAGTCGACAAATTTTGCGCGTTGTGATTGGCCAACGCGTCGCAAACTCTTGGTGGCGCACTATTGTGAATCGCCTGTATTAAAGTCCATGTTATTTGTTTGTGGTGCGTGAGACATCACAACTTCTTCTACACACAAATATAATATTGCCATATACTTCAAACACATTTGGGATCGACAGCAAAAACTCTCAATGTTCCCTTTAACATCACTTACCAGTTGCCTGATCGTGTGAGTTTTCCCTGAGAGATTCATCTGGGATTTTTACTGCCTGCCACCTCTAATACTTCACACATCTTCTTTTTCTTCCTTACTGGGACTTATTTCCATCCAGTAATATGAGTTGCTGAGTGACAGCTTACTTTATAAATTTTAAAAAAAAAAACGAGAATGTGTACTCACTCGGTTGATTCCCAAAATTTGATCTGGTCGATCATGTAGGAGGGACGCATCTTCCTCAGGATAACCGCACTCACATTCTCTGCAAAAGAATCCAATTTACTCCGTTCCAATTAAAGCAGACGTGTGAGAACTGCGTCATATTTACCTACAAATGAGGGGGTGTAATATTTATTGCAGCCAATCTTTCCCTATGCGAAGCTCATGGTGTGAATGGGAAAGTCTTTCCTTGTTGCGAATCTGAAACTTCAACATGTGTTGAGCAAAACTGCATTTTTGGGGTATAATCTAAAATTTAAAAAGAAAGTTTACGCAATGGCCTTGAACATCAGGGTCGTGCTTTGGACGGATTTATTGCACCTGGGCACAATTCATCTCAAGTCCTTTCAATTTCAGGGTGCACAATGACAAAAGGATGCTTTTGTCACAGTTAATTTCAAATGGCTTTAGACTTTGCTCAGGACTAGAGAACTTGTGATGATGGTGCTATGATGAACTTGCAAGGGCTTGTGAATGGACTTGACTGCTGGATATTGGAACCAGTTATCCATACGCCTATTTCGTTTTGGTGCTCGTCAAAACTAGCCCCAACGCAAACAGTGTCAACTATAACACGTTTGTTTCATAAAGTCGTACTTGCATCTAGATCCATCTTTGACAAGTCAAACTCTGCGCTCTCCTCAAAGGTAGTGATGACATCACCAGAGTCATCGTAGCTAATTGGCACCTGGTGAGTGAATGTGTACCCGCTCAAGAGACTGAGAGTGGGAGAGTTGCACAGACTGACACCTGGAATGTCAAGGGGACAGCTTACATGAACAGGATTGGAGGGCATTTGGAATAATTAGTGCAGTAAACTTAAATTAAAATGAACGCGTGATTCTCCTCCCTGTATGTTGGTGCATCACTAGAATTCAATAGTCAGGTGATGTGGCTGGGAACCAATGGAAAACTTTAATATTGACGATGCATGCATGGGTGCATATAAGGTGTAACACAGTAAGGCCAGTTTGTGCACATTCTGTTGCAAATTGACTGAGAGCATCCTGTACTTCTGACACCTGTCGGGACAGGCAATGTGACCATGCCAGCTGTTGTAATTTCTTGCAAAATGGACCAGCTGGGAGGCTCCAACCCACAAACTTGTTCACCATGCTTGAGCTGATGCTCTGGGCAACAAGTGGGAACTGCCAGCACAAGGTACCAGACAAGGCAGAGAAAGATGAGCAAAGATGTCACTTGCGATGGAAGCGTGGGGGCCATTTCCCCCGCCCCAATTTTTCGACTTGGGGCCAATGGCGCCCCCACCCCGTCACTTTTGGCAGGCCTTTAATGGCTGATGCCTGACTGTCTAACAAATAGCCCCCCCCCCTTTGAAAACGGTTCCACCCCCATTGATACATGTTCGCATATTTCTCCAGGTAGCATTGTCATCATAAATGCAAGGTGGTTGATTCACATTTACACGTAGTTGAAGGGAAGAGGGTAGTTATCAACAGAATAAATGTATCAACAGGAATAGTTCAATAGGCATCTGTAATTATTCCTTTTAGGCTCCGCTTCGTGTTTTGGAAGACCAACAGCCACAAGGTGAGATTAACACCCCTCTCCCCCTGCCATTTTGCAATAAGACAAGTTTTGCAATGAGAAGTTTGGCCATCAAAAATACAGTCCCAGCCCCAAACATGTTCTAAAATCAGACAGAGCTTGGTGACAGATCCATCAAGTATGTCCTTGTATGAACCCTTGACGTGTTTTCTTACGCCGACCTCTCTGTGTTCGGCCAATGTTCGGCATTATGGCAACACAACTCAACTTACTGCTGCCATCATATCCAAGAGTTGCACAGGTCTTGGGTAGCAGCGTCCCGGCCAAAACTTTCAAAGCCTCTTCAGTGTCAGCTACAATCTCGGCTTCTTCTTGGACTGACTGGATTGACACGACAAAAAGCTTATGTACACAGCAAAGAATATTTCACAGCCATCAGTAGTTTTTAGGATTTAAATAACAGGCCAAACACTGTACTACGATAACCTGCTTTTTTTTACCCTTCAATATTATGAATTGATCCATTCCATAAAATAAAGCAATGTGAAGTAACAGCTTTTTTCTATACTTCTCTACTGTCCTTACAGTACGCAAGAGCAAAGACATTTTCATGAATGGATCAATCATTTACCAGCAAGACCTCAATTTAAAAAACTACTGATGTTGGTTGGGACAAAAAAACATGAGTTTCACGAAGGGCAAGATATATCAGCAAACGATTGAACGCCAATTGTACGATCTGGATATTTCCGAGGCATTTATCAAATGCCACAACCACATATGTTGTGACAATCTAAGGCTTTGCCATGGAACAATATTGGCGATGACTCAGGCTCATGTGTACAGAAGCTCACCACTTCAACGTTGTGTATATACGAAACGAACAGGTGAGGCATACATTCACATGAGCTGTCAGCGGCTGGGGGGACAGTTTGTGTTCATGAATGCTACCTGCTTGCAATGTACACAGCCCTCCGTTGCCGACCGGGTCATACTCGAGAAAAATTTGAAATCATTGAGATTACATATGCGCATCACAAAAAAGAATGGATCTACTTTTTTGTGGAACCTGGCGTTAAATTCTTAGAATCCAATGGAAAATAAATCAAGTGGGATGCAACCAGCATTTCTTCCAACACAGTTTGACATCTCATTCGTTGCAGGAGCCGCAATATTGATAAAGCAATGGTCACCTGACTGCACGGAAAAAAATGGAAACTTTCCTCTTGTGATGAAGCTTAACGCATTCAGGTTAAAACTACTCCCGAACCTCTGATTCATTTTCTTTTCAGCGATAACAACCATTCTCAAAAGAAACTACAGTTTATGATATGTGACTTCCACACTATCAGAGCGATATTTCAATTATAAAGTGAATCCACAGCTTATGTGCGTATACCTACCAAATTTTGGTCTGCATCTGTCAGTTTTGTAAACACCATCAGCACAGTCTGAAGATGAAAAACAAGATTGCTTTCACATTAACAGGCACGCTGGCATCGTCGTTGTGAGGACAAGAAACCTGTTTGGACAAATACGTGACGAGGACAACCTTTTGTCCCTGTAATGCCATCCAACAAAGAATCTTCACAAAGAAACTGCCTCATCACCTAGGGTCTGGCAGGGTACTTGATCCATGTGTGAAAATTTTTACAAATTGCTCGGTTTGAATATTTCTTCAGGCAACATGAATGCATATACTGTAAATACAAAGTAAACATGACGGCAGTGATGGAATGACAGGCTGAATCGGAATATTGTGTCTGGGGCTAGATGTAGGTCTTCGCAGGTTGCTAATAAAATACCAGGTACGTTGATGTACATTGGAACATGCTGACAGCAGAGGTAGCCATAACTTGATCTGCCGCAAGTCTGTTTCTGATGACAACATGTACGTATCTTCTACAAATTTTCAAAGATGGCTGCCTAATGTTGTTTACCTTGGTAACCGCAGCAGTCTCTGAGTAAGTTTTGAGTTCCTGATGAGTGGGTTGTGACACAACAAACTTCAAGAAGTTCACCAGTTCAACTTTCTTGTCATCGGTCAGCTTGCCCGGCTCGACATCGATGCGACTCGTTTTGCCACAGGCAATCGCTTCCTGATGAGAGGAACAATGCGAATACGTTGTCAAGGGCTCAAATCGCAACTGATAATAAATCTGTGGCTTACGAGTGGCAATCGAGTTCTTTTCAGAGCATTGCTAGGTCACCACAAGACCATGACGCAAGACGTCCAACCTGAATTCAAGTAGCAAGCAAGCTATTCATATGAACTGCAACATTAAGGCACTCCGTTGTCAATTCTCACTCTGTTACTAGTGACTGGTCTGGTGAAAGATTTTGAGCCTGGTCTAATGACCTCCACCAGAACATTGAATGGTTTACTTTTTTGTGGAGATGCTAAGCATGAGCATATTTGCTGAGCAGAATATTCCGGAAGGTAAATGCTTAAGAAAACAATTACCAGTGAACATTTGTTTCAATTTATATGAACAAAATTTGAATTTTGTTTGAAAAGTCACTGGACTACTAAAAAACGGAGAAACAGAGCTCTCTCTTCAATAATTCAACACAACTCTCTACAATTTAGTTTAACTATGAAGCGGCAAATCATGCAAATATCCTTCTTTAAATGTCTATTTGTAAATTCTGTACATTAAAATTGCCAACAATACTAAGCAATATACGTCTTTGCACCTATGAGTAAAAACGGGTCCATGTTCATAGAGCGGGCGATGTGTGCACTGGTGCAACAGGAAAAAGCCACTCTGAGTTCAAATTTCAACAAGTAATTCAAATAAATTGTTAGTTTCGACCTAGTATTTCTCGAGGGGACAGAGCTAGCGCAGTGGGGGATGTTTTACATGTTTGCTCTTACCTGTAGAGTGTGCACATCTCCAAGTGCACACCACGATGGAGTAACAGTGGGTAAGGCATCAGTTGTTAAAGGGCCCTCAGTATGAGACAATTTATCTTTTGTGCCAGTCGTAGCTGTGGTTTTCCCTCCTTCTACGGATGGCGAAGTAGCAGGAGTGGTTTCCTCTCCTGCCGTGATCGGCTCTGCAGGTGTTGGTGCAGACGAGGGCATCACTCCGCTCTGGAGGGTTGATGGGCCAGGCGAGAACGTGTGCACGGTGCCAGATGGGTCAGTTTGTGGGGCCGAGGATAGTTTTGGGCTTGTGTGCAGAGATGTTGACAGCTGTGTAGCCATCTGAGCCAAAGTTGTTGGTGCTGACGTCGTTGGGGCTGACGTCGTTGGGGCTGACGTCGTTGGGGCTGACGTCGTTGGGGCTGACGTCGTTGGGGCTGACGTCGTTGGGGCTGACGTCGTTGGGGCTGACGTCGTTGGGGCTGACGTCGTTGGGGCTGAAGTCGTTGCTGCAAGAGCTGCGGGAACAGTGATTAAAGGCAAATGAAAGTTTAAACCCAACCACTTAAGATACTTGACTTTGTAAGCACTCTTCCCTTAATGCCAAAATTTCAATGCGCAGTACACCTATCAATCAGTCACTGATGAAGTCTGTATACTGAACATTATCCAATAAAATCCACACCAAAATACATTACCCACATTGGTCACTTTACTCAATATTCAACTGCCCGTTGATGTGAGCTGGGAAGGACAGGCACATGTGATATACACTTTGTTGCACCGATTTTTACGATGAATTTATGAAATAAGAAAAAGATATTTTTCTCACCTTCTGGCCCCTCCAATGTCACATTAGCCACTGCAGACCACCAGTTGATGACACACAGATAAACGCCAACATGTTCACTTTGGAAATCCGGAATATCAAGGGACAATGTTCCACCCATGTAAGCGTCTCGAACATAGGAGTTGGAGTCGATCCGTTTGGAGTTTGCATAAGCAATACTATTCAGCGGCATCTGGTACCATTCCACGCTGTGGACGACATCATCATCTGCTGTGCAGGTTAGATGAACAGCACTGCCAAAAGCTACTGGGGTTGTCTTGTCTGAAATAATGCTGACTGTTCCATAAAACACTGGAGAAGCAATGAATGCATGACATTGGCCATTGGTGCACTGGACGAAAGTATCACCTACTGGACACTTTTTTCTGTTTAAATCGCAAGTTCAAAGGAAGTTTCAAAACTTGGCATCTCAGGTTCAATGTTAAAGTTAGCAAATTTCTTGACACAATCTAGGGCTTGAATTCACGTCGAGTCTCTTCAAGTCCACTCCCATTATCAACCATCCCGTCTACTGTAAGTCAAGTCACAAGAAATTCAACTGAAGTGTGTCATCTAACGCACTCCTTTGTCACTGTTTATCGATCCTGCTTCTCACAATTAGTCTTGTGACCGGTCACGTGATGTACTCAACAACGGCCCTGATCTTGGCTCAGTGTATGGTGTTTCTCCTTTGCCCTGCCCTATCATTCAATAACTTTGAAAGCAGACACTCGCACCAAAAATATGCTTTATTTCACTCAACTGATTTGGAATCAATTACAGCTCCGATTTTGGTGTTCCCTTTCATTAACTTTGAGCATCCTCAATTTCTGTAAAGATAATGCTGGACCCGCCAATTATTTAGATTTGAACTTTCGGCTACTCTTGTACCAAATTTCTCGAGTAAATGAAATCTTAGTACAGGTGTATTATGTTTACAGGTTTCCCGTAGGAGAAAAAGCATCAGAAATCAAAGAGGCTAAGTGTTAAAGTTGTTTGGCTTACCAGTGTCGATTCTGAGT